GATACCAGGGGCCCCTTCCCTGGCCGGATACCAGGGGTCCCTTCCCTGGCCGGATACCAGGGGTCCCTTCCCTGGCCGGATACTAGGGGTCCCCCTCCCCCTTCCCTGGCCGGATACCCGGGGCCCTTCCCCTTCCATGGCCGGATACCAGGGCCCCTGTCCCCTTCCCTGGCCGGATACCAGGGCCCCTTCCCCTTCCCTGGCCGGATACCAGGGCCCCTGCCCCTTCCCTGGCCGGATACCAGGGCCCCTCCCCCTTCCCTGGCCGGATACCAGGGCCCATCCCCCTTCCCTGGCCGTATACCAGGGCCCCTCCCCCCTTCCCTGGCCGGATACCCGGGCCTGTGTCCTGATTTAATAGTTGGATTTTGGGATTACGAAGGACGTTTGTTAGCGGAGCGGACGGGAGAATTAGCAGAGTGCGGTAACCGGAACTGTGCTCAAGATTATCCTGGGATTAAGCACGCGGGAAGCTTATATGTATCCTCGCTGGAAGGTATTTGTCCGCGGAGCTCTGAGTTGGGAGGTGGCACTGGCTGGGTGTTGGTGGCACTGGCTGGGTGTTGGTAGCACTGCCTGGGTGTTGGGTGGCACTGGCTGGGTGTTGTGGCACTGGCTGGGTGTTGTGGCACTGTCTGGGTGTTGGGTGGCACTGGCTGGGTGTTGGTGGCACTGGCTGGGTGTTAGTGGCACTGGCTGGGTGTTGGTGGCACTGTCTGGGTGTTGGTGGCACTAGCTGGGTGTTGGTGGCACTGGCTGGGTGTTGGTGGCACTGTCTGGGTGTTGGTGGCACTGGCTGGGTGTTGGTGGCACTGTCTGGGTGTTGGTGGCACTGGCTGGGTGTTGGTGGCACTGTCTTGGTGTTGGGTGGCACTGTCTTGGTGTTGGGTGGCACTGTCTGGGTGTTGGGTGGCACTGTCTGGGTGTTGGGTGGCACTGGCTGGGTGTTGGGTGGCACTTGCTGGGTGTTGGGTGGCACTGGCTGGGTGTTGGTGGCACTGGCTGGGTGTTGGGTGGCACTGGCTGGGTGTTGGGTGGCACTGGCTGGGTGTTGGTGGCACTGGCTGGGTGTTGGGTGGCACTTGCTGGGTGTTGGGTGGCACTGGCTGGGTGTTGGTGGCACTGGCTGGGTGTTGGGTGGCACTGGCTGGGTGTTGGGTGGCACTGGCTGGGTGTTGGTGGCACTGGCTGGGTGTTGGGTGGCACTGGCTGGGTGTTGGGTGGCACTGGCTGGGTGTTGGTGGCACTGGCTGGGTGTTGGGTGGCACTGGCTGGGTGTTGGTGGCACTGGCTGGGTGTTGGTGGCACTGGCTGGGTGTTGGTGGCACTGTCTGGGTGTTGGTGGCACTGGCTGGGTGTTGGTGGCACTGGCTGGGTGTTGGTAGCACTGGCTGGGTGTTGGGTGGCACTAGCTGGGTGTTGGTGGCACTGTCTGGGTGTTGGGTGGCACTGTCTGGGTGTTGGTGGCACTGGCTGGGTGTTGGTGGCACTGTCTGGGTGTTGGTGGCACTGGCTGGGTGTTGGTGGCACTGGCTGGGTGTTGGTGGCACTGTCTGGGTGTTGGTGGCACTGGCTGGGTGTTGGTGGCACTGTCTGGGTGTTGTGGCACTGGCTGGGTGTTGGTGGCACTGGCTGGGTGTTGGTGGCACTGGCTGGGTGTTGGTGGCACTAGCTGGGTGTTGTTGGCACTGTCTGGGTGTTGGTGGCACTAGCTGGGTGTTGGTGGCACTGTCTGGGTGTTGGTGGCACTAGCTGGGTGTTGGTGGCACTGTCTGGGTGTTGGGTGGCACTGTCTGGGTGTTGGTGGCACTAGCTGGGTGTTGGTGGCACTGGCTGGGTGTTGGTGGCACTAGCTGGGTGTTGGTGGCACTGGCTGGGTGTTGGGTGGCACTGGCTGGGTGTTGTGGCACTGTCTGGGTGTTGAGAGGTGGCGACGTTTCGACCAGCAACATATAGCCCCGGAACGAAACATCATTTTCTTCACTTTCAGATGTGTGTAAGGGGGGGGGGAGGGTGCCATGTTCACCCAGGTTGTTGTGTCTTGAGTACGTTTGAAGAGCTTTGAGACGATCCCAATAATTTAGGTGCTTTATCGCGTCTATGCGTGCCGTATATGTTCTCTGTATATCCCTATATATATATATTCCCCGTATCTGTATATGGATTAAATCAAGATGTACAGGTTTCGTATACAAGTGATTGCGGAAATGGTCCTTGAATCGTGGCCCCGGGTGGCACTCTCCACGTGCCACAGAATCCCTCATGATTAATTTAGAGGCATCGATCCCACTTTTCCAAGGTTGCATATCTGAGTGTGACACAGTCATGTGACACAGCCATGTGACACAGCGGTGTGACACAGCGGTGTGACACAGCGGTGTGACGCAGCGGTGTGACACAGTCATGTGACACAGCGGTGTGACACAGCGGTGTGACACAGCCATGTGACACAGTTTCACCCAGACTGTGAGTGCCGTCATGGAGCACGGCGTCCCTCTGCCTGGTATTGTTCCTGTGTTTTATAGCGATAATACACCCAATTGTTACTCTCTCTTGTTAATGAAGTAAATAATGTACATGAACAAAGGGCGACTCTAGCGTGTATTGTGTGTGTGTTCAAGGCTGAGGAGAGAGAGAGAGAGAGAGAGAGAGAGAGCCAGCCAGCCAGCCAGCCAGCCAGCCAGCCAGCCAGCCAGCCAGCCAGCCAGCCAGCCAGCCATCACTATGTCATCTGACAGTTTTATATAAAAAGGTTCCATTCACCCCCCTGGTTGAACTGTACCTTTCAGCGCATATTTAAAGATTGATTTACTAAAATTATTCGTTATTTGTATGCCGTGGAAACCTGAATAGAATGAAACGCATGGAATATATAAATATATATATTTTTATACTGAAATTGAGAGTATATGTAACGTCACAGGGATGACAATGGCATTTTATTTGAGGTGTTAATGGCGGGTTTTCTGATGGGGGGGAGACGGCAGGGTTCTTTTTTGTATGGGAGTGTGTTGAGTGGTGGTGTTGAAACTCGTCAACACTAGGGGCGGTCAGTATCTTGTATGTTGTAATCATATCCCCCACTCGTCTCCCTTTTTTCTGCCACGGCTGCCGTGCCACGTCTGCTGTGCCACGGCTGTTGTGCAATGTCTACTGTGCCACGGCTGTTGTGCCATGTCTACTGTGCCACGGCTGTTGTGCCATGTCTGCTGTGCCACGGCTGCTATGCCACGGCTGCTGTGCCACGGCTGCTGGCGCTGTTCACACAGTAACGAAGCCAATTTCCTCATGCAATAAATTAACCTCTTTGGTCCTGTCCTTTGTGAACCCTCTCCGTCTCTCTCCCTGTTCCGTGTGTTGCAAGGCCCCCCCCCCCTGAGCCTCTGGCTGGGGCCCCTTGCAACACCACCAACCCGTTCTCGCACTTGCTTATAGTCAATATTGGCTTATTTAATAAGTGCATATGTGACATACTAATTGATTGTGAATATCTTAGTTTACCTTGAAAAGCTTCATAGAAAACACCGACCTCACCTAACCTTCTTAATATGTTAAGATAAGCATCTTATTGCTTCTTAATTACAATTATTACTTAACGTATACCGATGATAGGTTAAGTAATAATTGTAAATAAGAAGCAATAAGATGCTTATCTTAACATACTAAGAAGGTTAGGTGAGGTCGGTGTTTTCTATGAAGCTTTTCAAGGTAAACTAAGATATTCACAATCAATTAGTATGTCACATATGCACTTATTAAATAAGCCAATATTGACTGAAGGCAATTGCGAGAACGGGTTGAACACCGGCTAAGTGTTGCACCAGCCCAGTCTTAGCCGGTGGATGAGTGAAGAAAAAAGTATAGAAATAAATGATAATAATACTAATGATGGCAAATAATAGCACAAAAAAATATTTAAAAATATAGCAATAAAGGAAAAAATAATCGTAATTTGAAGAACATAATTGCATTCCTAATTCACAAAAATTGTAGGAGTGAACACAAATGGGTTGTTGAGTGAAGCAGCGAGGTTGTTCACTGGTTTGACTTCGGGCTCACCATAGCCCGTGCTGCTTGGAACTTTTTGTTCCAGGTAGCGAATCTTAAACAACAACAACGTTTAAAGGTGGTGCGTATAGATGGCGCGGCCAGCAACACTAGGCCTAGCGGCGGGGAGGGAATCTGGGGCCAGATTCACGAAGTAGTTACGCAAGCACTTACGAACGTGTACATCTTTTCCTCAATCTTTGACGGCTTTGATTAAATTTATTAAACAGTTTACAAGCATGACAACTTGCCAATCAACTGTTGTTATTGTTATAAACAGCCTCCTGGTGCTTCGGAGCTCATTAACTGTTTAATAATTATAAACAAAGCCGCCAAAGATTGAGAAAAGATATACAGGTTCGTAAGTGCTTGCGTAAGTGCTTTCGTGAATCTGGCCCCAGAGCTGTAGCCAATTTAGGGCTGAGAATATAGCTCGGAGTGTGAGGTGACTACAGCCCCCCCCCCCCCCCCCTGCCCGTGTGGTGGTGCTGGAACATGTTATTGGTACAGGTTAACAGGCCCACGCAGAGGCAGGCAAAGCAGAGGGGGAAAAACGAATGAATAAATGAGAGAACAGCGATATATGTGATTGGTAGAAAGAAGCACCAGGCGTAGAGAGAGGAAAAAACTTCCCTCCTTTCCATATACAATATATATATATATATATATATATATATATATATATATATATATATATATATATATATATATATATATATATATATATATATATTTATATATATCACTAAGAACTCTTTGACCCGGCCAGGATTCGAACCCATGCCGTCCAGGATCACCCCTAAACGTACACAGTACCGTGACCACCGCACCAATGATCGTCTACGATCATTGCCTAGACGATCATTGGTGCGGTGGTCACGGTACTGTGTACGTTTAGGGGTGATCCTGGACGGCATGGGTTCGAATCCTGGCCGGGTCAAAGAGTTCTTAGTGATATATGGCTTGCGCGTTCATGCAGCTTTCTCACATATATATATATATATATATATATAATATGTCGTACCTAGTAGCCAGAACGCCCTTCTCAGCCTACTATGCGAGGCCCAATTTGCCTAATAAGCCAACTTTTCATGAATTAATTGTTTTTCGACTACCTAACCTACCTAACCTAACCTAACTTTTTCCGCTACCTAACCTAGCCTAACCTATAAAGATAGGTTAGGTTAGGTTAGGTAGGGTTGGTTAGGTTTGGTCATATATCTACGTTAATTTTAACTCCAATAAAAAAAAATTGACCTCATACATAACGAAATGGGTAGCTTTATCATTTCATAAGAAAAAAATTAGAGAAAATATAATAATTCAGGGAAACTTGGCTTATTAGGCAAATCGGGCCTTGCATAGTAAGCTGAGAAGTGCGTTCTGGCTACTAGGTACGACATATATATATATATATAAACACACATGGAGTATTTTCACTATTTCGAAGTATTAAATATTCCTCTGGAATATTTTCTGCCCTTGAAACATTTTCTGGTCAGGTGGGAAGATTGTGTGAAGTATTTCCTGCCCCGGTGGGACATTTTCTTCCCCTGAGGATTGTTGCCGGTGGGACACTAAAAACAATACTTGTACAATCTATCGGTGGTGGTGTCTGTGAAGCTCTCTTAATTGTTGAGCCTTTTGCGCCATGATTGTTGCATTGTTAGTGGCACACGCCGCGAACCTTCCTTCCTTCTCCCCTGCAGTATTCATGTGATATTCATGCACACATCTCCTGCTGTATACATGATACATACATACATGCAGGCTGTATACAGCTCGCTCGCCACCCCGAGGGGAAGGGGGGAGGTGGGTGTGTGCTTGTGGGAGTTCTGTCTCTCGGTTTCTCTCACTCACTTTCTCTCAATCTCACTCACTCACACTCAATTCACCCCACACACTCATATACTCACACTCTGACGCCCTTTAGGTCTTGCGGCCGCCGTGTCTTATCTCTAAAGTCTGAAGGTCTTTTGTGTTGGTCAAGTCTGAAAAATATTATTGAGGTTAGGAGGCTTCATTTGCCTCTGGACCTCTGCTTGTTCTGCCTACCCCCCCCCCCCCTAACCCATCATCATCATGTTCTTACTGTTATGTTACCCTAACTCATTGTAATCATATATCCCGACTCATTATTATCATATGTTGGCTCATTACACACACACACACACACGCGCACACACACACGCACACACACACACACATACACACACACACACACACACACACACACACACACACACACACACACACACACACGCACACACACACACACACACACACACACACACACCCAACACACATACACACACACACCCAACACACACACACCCAACACACACACACCCAACACACACCCAACACACACACACCCAACACACACACACCCAACACACACACACCCAACACACACACACCCAACACACACACACACACACACCCACACACACACACACACACACACACACACACACACACACACACAACACACACACACACACACCCAACACACACACACACACACACCCAACACACACACACACACACACCCAACACACACACACACACACACCCAACACACACACACACACACCCAACACACACACACACCCAACACACACACACACACACCCAACACACACACACACCCAACACACACACACACCCAACACACACACACACCCAACACACACACACACACACCCAACACACACACACACCCAACACACACACACCCAACACACACACACACACCCAACACACACACACACCCAACACACACACACACCCAACACACACACACACCCAACACACACCCAACACACACACACCCAACACACACACACATACACACCCAACACACACACCCAACACACACGCACCCAACACACACACACGCACCCAACACACACACACACCCAACACACACACACCCAACACACACACACCCAACACACACACACCCAACACACACACACCCAACACCGGCAACACAACCCTAATATCAATGTGATTTCCGAAACGTTGTTAACAAAGTGTATCTTTAAAATTTTGTGTATTCGCGCCATTAAACCCCTAAAGACTGAACCCTGTAACGCTCTAAATTACCGTTGATTAATGAGTATTACGACGTAACTGTTAACAGCCAATCCTGTAACTCTCTAAATAATCATTTTCTTCGCGTTAAACAGCTTAATTAACATGAACTGCTCATTTAACATTGTGAGGTAAGTGTGGTTTAGTATCTGAAATTCCCCCTCCCACGAGAGCCATCGTCGGCGCTCTGGGAGCTTCAATTGTTTAATTCTCTCTCTCTCTCCCTCTCCCTTTTGGCTCTCCTCGCCGTGGTAAATCAGAGCGGCTCTAAATTGAAGTGTCAATGTTGATGCCTCTATGGAAATTAGTGTAAATAATAGGGCGGGTGGTTGATGTGGGTTGAGTTGTGAGGGC